TCTTCAGCAACATTTTAATTCAGTTCCTATCTTTCAGATACTCACACTCACCCAGCTAGTTATGCTTTTGTTTCTGGAAAATCTACAGAAGACAATAAACTTATCTGAGCTGTTCTCTCTTGCAGTCTTTATCTTTCAAGAGGCAGCACTGATGATTTTATGAACTATCTTACAGAAAATATGGAAACCATTAAAAAACCGCACTTCAATTGCACTCAGAAACCCGGTTATATATACTAAATACTAAAGGCTTGTACTGTACAATCAGCAAGTCGAGTTTCTGTTAGTCATGTCTGAACAGAGAGAGAGAGAGAGAGAGATAGAGAGAGAGAGATAAAAAGAGAGAGAGAGCGGGGATAAAAGGGGAGTTCTTTTTGGAGCGTTCAAAGTTTGCTGTCCTATTGCCCCCCCAGCCCCCGCCCCGCCCCCCGCGAAGGGCGCCCTTTTGCCCCCCGCGGCGCGGCCCCCCCCCTGCTCCACCCGCCCCCGGGGGGCCCACGCAACCCCCCAAAACCCCGACCACCCCTTTTTATTTCCCCTTTCCCTTTACCTCCCTGAAGGGGCCCCTCCAAGGGGGGGGCCCCCAAAAAAAACCCTGAAACCCTCAAAAGGGGCAAGTAGGCCGGTGGGGGTTTTTGAAGAGCACAGGAAAATACCCATCCCCCCCAAAACCCTCCCCCTTTTTTAATCCTAGGGGTTAAAAACAGCAAATTTTAAAAACCTTTTCCCAAAAAAGGGAAAGAAACTTCAAAAAAATTCCCTGAGGGGGGGTTTTTCCTGGAAAGACAAGGCCCTTTAAAATTTTTTAATTTTTTTCAAAGGGGATGGGCCAGAAAAGGGGGAGAGGAAAAGGAGAGAGAAATGGGGTGAGAAAGGAGAAAAAAGAAAAGAGGGGTTTTAAAAAGGGAGCCGAGAACCAAAAGAAAATTTCTTTTGATGGGGGGTTTATTTTCAACTCTTTAAATTATAAAAGGTTGGGGGGGGTCTTTGAAAAGGCCCGGTAATTGAGGGGTGGGGTGGAAATAAGGAAATAAATGTTAATTTTACCTGGGGGGCAAAAACCTTTGGATTCCCTGAATGCTTAGGCATTGGCATTTTTCTTTCCTGTTACAGAAAACCCAAAAAAAACCAAAAAACCTTTTTTTAAAACCAAAGGGTTTTTTTTCTATAGTTTTGATTTTAATTTAACCCCCCATTTTTTTTTAAAAATAAAAATTTTTGAAAACAAAAAAAAAAGTCCTTCTTTTTGGTTTCACTGTGGGGCGTAGATTAAATTAAAACTAAAATTTAGTGGAAAAAACAAAAAGAAGACCTTTTTTTTTCCATAAATAGAGGGGCCGGGGTTTAATCCAGGTGAAAGCTATGACCCCTTAAAGGATTCACCTGAAAAAAAAAAAAATCCATTCTTAAAATCACTATAGATAAGGGGAAGGAGAACGGGTTTTAAAGGAAGGTTTTTTTAAAGCCTTGGAAAAGTGAGACATGGTTTGTGTTAGGGGGCCATTAAAGAAAAAATTTTTAAAAAGTGCCTTTAAAAACGGGTTTAAATGTAGAAAGGTTTCCCCCAGGCGCACCTTTTTGGGAGGGGTCTCAAAATTTGAAACCCGTTTGGTTTGGGTTTTTTTCCCCGGCTAAACGGGTTTCCCCTTTTAACCCCCCCAAGGTTTGAACCCCCAAAAGGGTCCCCCAACAGTACTTGATACATTTTTTAAAACTTTTTAATCATTTTGGTCCCCCCCCTTTTGGGGAATCGAAACCCCTTTCCCACCTTTGGGTTCCCTTTGGGCCCCGCAATTGGGACCCTGTTTTGAGGATGGGGGGGTTGCAACTCAAAATTGGGAAAGGGTTCCTAATGTTTTTTGTTAAACTCAGGGTAAAAAAATAAAATTACGGAAGTCCTTAAAAACCTCAAAACCCCTTTACAAAGGGCTTTAGGGTCTCCTAAAAAAAGCAGTTTGGAATTTCAACTAAAACAAATAGAGTAAGAAGAAAAAGAAAAAAACTTAAAAATTTAAAAAAAGGGCATGAAAAGGAAAGCTAGCTTGTGCCCCCCAAATGGCACCCTTTTCCCAAAAATCTTTCCCCTACAAAAAAATACGGGGGCCATTGGGACACATAAAATTCCTTTTTTTGGTTTCCCCAAAAACCGCGAGGGTCCCCCAACAATTTTTTATGTGTTTTTTTTAACTTTCCCTGCCCCCAAATCAAAAAATCCAAGGGCCTTCCAAGGCTCAGAGCAAAAAATAAAAGAAAAATATTTTTTTGAAACGGGGAAAAGGAGGGAGAAGAGAGGGGGAGAGAGAGAGGGGGGAGAGAGAAAAGGGAGAGAGAGAGAGAGAGGGGGAGAGAAAGGAGAGAGAGAGAGAGGAGAGAGAGGAAAGACTCTCCCCCTTTTCTCTTCCCCTTTTGCCCCCCTTTTCCTCTCTCTCTCTCTCCTCGCCCCCCCCCTTCCCCTCCTCCCTCCTCCCCCTTCCCCCCCCCTCCCCCCCCCCCTTCCCTCCCCCCTTTCCCCCCCCTCCCCCCCTCCCCCCTCCCTCCCCTCCCTCCCTCCCTCCCCCCCCCGCCCTCCCCCCCCCCTCCCTCCCCCCCCCCCCCTTCCCTTTCCTCCTTCCCCCCTTTTTGCCCCCCCCCAAGGCGGCTTGTGAAAAGGTGGGGGGGTTGTTCTGATGCTTCTTCTCCTTATAATTTTGGGATTTTTGGGGGGGGGGGAAGACTCTTTGGGGGTTTTTTTTGGGTATTTTTGGGGTGTGGGGGGGTGGGGGGGGGGAGAAAAAAATCTTTTCCCCCCCCCTAATCTTTTTGTTTTTAGGAACTTTCCATGGGCCTAAATTCCCAAAAACCCCAATCAGCCCGAAAACCCCCTTTGCGCACCTTTGCCCAAAACAGGGCAGTACGAACGGCATTCAAAGACGATACAGATCCCCCTTTTGATAAGGCCAGTAACACCAAACTTTTTAAACCCAGAAAACGTTAATCCCCCTTTTAAACCAACAAACAAATTTTTTTAAATTTTAATTAAAAATTTAAAAAATATTACATTTTTTTTAAATTTTAAGGGCTTACCAAAAATTTTTAAAAATTTTACTAAAAAGTTATTTAAAATTTTTTAAAATTTAATATATACTTTCAAAGGGCACTGATGATTTTATGAACTATCTTTTCAGAAAGATCATGGTTTTAAAACCATTAAAAAAAAACCGCACTTCAATTGCACTCAGAAAAACCCGGTTATTATACTAAATACTAAGGCTGTACGGTACGATCAAAGTCGAGTTTCTGTTAGTCAGTCTGAACGAGAGAGAGAGAGAGGAGAGAGAGATAGAGAGAAGGGAGAGAGAAAAGAGAGGAGGAGGGGGAGTGAGTGAGTGAGTTGGTTTTCTCTCTCCGCCTCCTAGCTCTCGCTCCTCCTCAGCCTCGCACTTCCTTAGCTCTCCTCCATTGGGGCCTCCTTTTTAGCTCAGCCATATTTCCTCTTCCTCCCTGTCTATTAGTGCCTAGAGGGGGGCTCCAAAAACCCTTTAACCCCCACAAGGGCAGATAGGCCGTGGAGGTTTGAAGAGCACAGGACCTCCCATGCATCCCATCTCTCCCTATATCCTATTAGGTATACAGCTATGTTCTACCATTTCAGAACAAGGAGAAACTAATCAGGAAATGCTGAGGTAGGTTCTCTGGCAGACAAGGCCCTGTTGAAATTGAAGTTAACATGTTTTCAAAGAGAGGACAAAAAGAAGAAGAGCCGAGAGAGGATATTGAAAGAAGAGAGCTGATAGAAGGATAGAGAGAATAGGAGAAGCAGAGGAATTTAGAAACAACCAGCGTAGAGCCCCGATTAAAGGAGAGAGAGAGAGCATTGATGGAGGTATGTATCTCTTTAAGTAGGAGGAGTGGGGATCAAGGACAAAGCCGGAGAGAGCTGAGCGTGGAGGTGGAAGAGAAGGCAGAAATGTTAATATACTGTAGCTAAAACGTTGACCTGTAATGACATGTCTAGGCATTGGCATTGTTCATCACTGTTACACCTGTTTCACCTAAGTCTTTCTATAGATTGATTTTACAGTAACTGACACAATTACATCCAAATTATGAAAACAAAACAAATGTCCTTCTTCTGGCTTCACTGTAGCAGTAGATGTCAATTAGAAACTACACTGAGTGGACAAAACATTAAGAAGACCTGTTCTTTCCATGAAATAGACTGGCCAGGTGAATCCAGGTGAAAGCTATGATCCCTTACTGATGTCACCTGTTAAATCCACTTCAATCACTATAGATGAATGGGAGGAGACAGGTTAAAGAAGGATTTTTAAGCCTTGAGACAAGTGAGACATGGATTGTGTATATGTGCCATTCAAGACAAAATATTTAAGTGCCTTTGAACGGGGTATGGTAGTAGGTGCCAGGCGCACCGTTTTGAGTGTCTCAAGAACTGCAACGCTGCTGGGTTTTTCACGCTCAACAGTTTCCCGTGTGTATCAACAATGGTCCACCACCCAAAGGACATCCAGCCAACTTGATACAACTGTGGGAAGCATTGGAGTCCTCCCTGTGGAACGAACACTTTCGACACCTTGTAGAGTCCATGCCCCGACAAATTGACGCTGTTCTGAGGATGAGGGGTTGCAACTCAATATTAGGAAGGAGTTCCTAATGTTTTGTTCACTCAGGGTATAAAAATACAATTACTGTAATGTACTGACACCTCAGAACACCCCTACAAAGGGCTTTATGTCTCCTACAAGCAGTTTGAGACTCAACTCAAACAAATAGAGTAAGAAGAAAAGCAAAAAACAGTAAGATATTTAAAGAAACGGCATGTAACGGAGCTAGACTTGTGTCCCAAATGGCACCCTATTCCCAATATCGTTCACTACATAGGAAATACGGTGCCATTGGGACACATACATTCTATTTGTGTGAGCTGTCACACCGCTGAGGTCTCCAACAGATGTTTTATGTGTGTTTTACTTTCCCTGACACAAATCTAATCCAAGGCCTTCCTAAGGCTCAGAGCAGAAATGAAAGATAAATATGTGTTTGCACTGGGAAGGAGGGAGAGAGAGAGAGAGAGAGAGAGAGAGAGAGAGAAGAGAGAGAGAGAGAGAGAGAAGGAGAGAGCTCTCTCTCTCTCTCTCTCGCCCTCCTCTCGAGATCTCCGCTCTATCCTTCTCCTCTCTCCTCCCTCTCTCCTCCCTCCCCCCCTCCCTCCCTCCCTCCCTCCCCCCCCCCTCCCTCCCTCCCCCCTCTCCGTCCCCCTCCCTCCTCCCTCCCTCCCCCTCCCTCCCTCCCTCCTCCCCCTCCCTCCCTCCCCCTCCCTCCCTCCCTCCCTACCCCCTAACCCGATCCTCCCTCTCCTAGAGAGGTTTGTGAAAATGTGGTGGTTGTTAATGATGCTACGCTTCTCTATAGTGGGGAGGACTCTTTTGGGCAATTTGTGTGTGAGAGAGTGAGAAAGAGAGAGAGAGAGAAAGACATCGTTTCCCCTAAATCTTTTTGTTTCTTAGGAACTGCCATGGCCTCATTCCAAAGACCCAATCAGCCGATAAAGTCTGCAGCATCCTGTCACACAGTGCAGTACAGACAGGCATTCTAGACGATAGCAGAGTGCCCCTTGATAAGGTCCAGTAACACATACAAGTTAACCAGTAACGTTAATCCTCCTAACACACTTAATTTTTTCAAGTTAAATATATAAATAGAAAATATGACATTTTCTTTAATTTAAAGGTGCTTACCAAAAATGTAAAATTAAGCTAAAAAGTTACTTAATTATATTTAATTAATATATACATTTTAAAGCATTTAAAGAATAACTCCCATACATTCCTAGGAACAACCTCCACCTTTAACAACAGCTAAAGGTGGAGGTATGTAAAACTTTATGCAAATCACTCTTTGATGTCACACACAGCTTATTATGACACCTTGAATATCACCTTTGGCACTTTTATTGCTTGGTTGACATTTCCTCTGGCAGTCTATGAATGATTATAATGACTAGTTATACAGTACAAATGAGGGTTAGAACCTACTGGAATAGTGAGCAAAGTTCAACAGATTGTTCACATTCTTTATGGGTATACCAGATTCCCATTGTGGTGGCAGCAATGAAAGGGTGACTGGTGTAAGGAATACAGAGAGATGAGGGTTGAACTCTTTGCACTGTCTTAACATTTGTATGTTATCACTTCAGGGTCAATAAAATCTCAATCTGTAGACTCTATTGAAGGTATGAATATATTTTGTAGACAAGTGATAGAGAGAATGTTTGAAATAATGGAAACGTTACCTTTGCCAAGCAATCCCCAAAGTATCCTCAGTGCCACTGGGGCCATAATGCCTGCCGTTTTGATTCATGGTCCAGTCACATATCCTCAGCTGTCAATTAAAACCTAGCAGTCAGACATGGAGCCAGCAGCACAACTCACAGCTCACTTTGATATCAACGACACAAAGTTACTGTACAATGTCACTACGAAACAAAATCATGCATGCAAAAAATCCTAAAGCAGAGAGCCTAGAACAAACCAAAAAATTGGCCAAACTATTATCCTACAGATGTTTTTATCTAAACATAAAGAAATACGACACATCAGTCATTATTGTTCAGTAATTTTAGATCCTTCTACAGTTCAAATCTATGGAAAGCAGATCAAATAAAGAACATTAAGCATGCCACAAATAGTACTATGTTTCTAATCTGACCTGGAAGCAAAGAAAAGGTTAGTTTACAGAATGTGAGTCATGTCAATGGCATTCCTTCAGCTACTGTATAAGGGAGTAGTTCCCTATGGTTAGCCTATGGGGCCATGCATTCCACAGGTTACATACATACATGTTGTTAGATAATATGTAGTGTTCATTCTTATTCTGCATACAGGCTCGTTGAGGCATTTATGTATTTTATAGCAGTCCTATTCTGCTCCAAGTATACCCATATGGAAATAGTAGTTCAACTGTATGATGGTCAAACAGGTGGCTAGATGTGATTGTGGCAGGGTAGCTAAATGAGGGCTGCTGTCTTGTCTCTAACATCTTACAAAAACACACACACACTCGCACATACATACTGTACACACACACACACACAACCCCCCTGAAAGACACACACACACGTTAACGCAAAACCACCACACACTCTCGTCCAGGCATTATACACACACACGTCCACAATCTAGTAGAGAGCCGTCTCAGCCAATACCCAGCTAACCTTGCACCTTTCGTCAACACAATCAACACAATCAACACCTCCATTTGGTAATGCGTCTTGAAAAAGTGCCTTGTGAGCAATCTTCCCGCATCTGTGGCAGACTGAAGAGCTCTTAAGAGGGTTTAACCATATATACTCACACGCTGAATATTCAAAACCCACTTAGGATGGTTGATAACATTAGCCTACTCTCGAAGAGCACCACAGAGCCACACAGTGGTTTTCCACAGCACATCTTGAGGTGAATGACTGATTTCCTCTAGTTCTTCTGTGTATCGAAAATGTAAAGGTGTCTGCCGAATTTCCTAACCAATGATAAAGACAATATTTACCTACATCAAATAGAAACTAAAAAAACATACGCACCCGTGCACACACACACACAAGTCTATAAAGGAGGATATAAGCGGAGGCCACCACTCAATTTTTCTAAATAATATTCACTTGTTCTCCCAACACCAAGCCTCTACTAGAAGCAGACTGCATGGCTAAGTCTCCAGCTTTATTCCTCTACTAATATCAGAGACCAGGGTGCTGCATACACCAGAGCACACCAAAACCCTACACTGCCTTTCCATCATCCAGCCCAGCCCAGCCTGTTGCTCTGCTTTGACAAAGCTTTGAGCAGAGCGAACGTTCTGGCTGTGCCAGACGCTGTACCACCACCACCCTCACCCTCCTCCCCACGCCCTGTGCCAGGCCTGCCATCACTCCTCTAGGGGGGCTCGCCATCTGTCTGCCGGCACTGCCAAATCACAGTGGCAGGGGTAGGAGGGACGGGAAGACGTCGCCGGGGAACGTTAGGGGAACATTAGCGAAACAGATGCAGGCAGAATGGGGATTAGCAGGCTTCCTTAGATAATACCAAATGACATCTGATCACTGAACGTTCCCACAGGAACGCATGGTGGAGGAACAGTCCCTCGAGGGGTTAACCAAGGAGAAGACTTGAATGGGAGTTATTTTTTTCTCCACAGATTTTTTGCCGAGGAATTGTTTGGAAGGAGGAGGGGTGTGGGCAGATGGGTGTTTTGGGGGCTGGTGGGGTTGTGTGTGTGTGTGGGCATGCATGCGTGTGTGTGTGTGTGTGTGTGTGTGTAGAGTGTGCACTGGGGACATTGGGGGGCTGACAACACTTGCATCTCTACAGCTGCATACTGAAATATCACCGGTGACTGCATCTGAAAGATGACACCCCAGTAAGTCTGGTCTCTCCTCCCAACCCGCCTCAGAACAACGGTCTCAAACACACAGGAGAAGTGTCAATACATCTCATAACACTACCTAATAAATATCCAGAGCCGGGGTAACATGGCAATAATAACAAAGAGAGTGTACCTATGACATTGTTTACTCCACAGTGTATAGTAGCCTAGCGCCTGTAACCACGGAATGAAAGAGCCAGCTTCTTAGGTTTAAATCATCCTGAACCACAAACCACACAGACAAAGCCTGACTAATACAATAGAAGCATGAAGAATGGCTATTGTATTTCCCCCAAGTCTATTTCTATTCATTTAGTATTCAGTTAGGGGAAATAATACTATATAAACTATACTAAAGAATAGTTATTGATTGACCTACCTTAGTTTAATAAATATAATATAAAATAAATGGCTCTTTTACACTTTTACACTATCGGCCAGTGAGACAACATTGAGTACAGCTGCTGTTCAGTGACTTAACTGAGAGAAGTAGCAGGGCAACTAAAAATGTGGCATATTAACTCTACACACACACACTGCCCAAAATAGTCCACCCCGCGATAGAGAATCATAGCATCATTAACAAACAGCACATTTTCTGCCTGCTGTACCTTTGCCAAGCTGCAGAGAAATACAGGCCAGGCTTTGTCATTACGGTGGAGAAGAGAAACCAATGACTATTATGTAGCCGCGTGCAGATGCATTCAATTAAGCGTGGTTGGAAAGCCCTGGCCTCGGACCAGCGTGTGAGTGTGTGTGTGTGTGTGTTTGTGTGTATGTCTGTTTCATGAGGAGGGGCTGGCGCTCCAAGCCTCCTTTTCCACCCTCGCTGACCACGATGCTCCTAACCTCACACACACTTCAGCCGCCACGTGGTCACATCTGCCCGGGCGCCGGGACGACTGCTCGACGCCAACAACACCAAACAGTCTGGCCCTGGTCCGTATCGTACACTGTCTGTTCACGTGTCTAAGGCTGAATATTCTGACTTACAGAATGGTATGGGAAGACACTGTCTAATGGATACTGAACCATGACGGACAAGTAATTGATACATTTGTACTTTTGTGCACTTTCTCCCTTCTGTACTATTGATGATACAGCATATACATGATATTCCTCTGTTGACTGCCTTACAAAATGTGAATCAAAGCTAAACAACTGCATCAAAGGGAGTGCTGGTCTGTTTAAATGTGTCTGTGATGACTTACTGGCATTTAGCTACATTTTAGACACTATTTGAAGAAAACGGTTGAGGACATTACACCCTCATCTATTATGCTACATCTAATGACTTTCTGCCCCATACTGAAAATAATTAGGTAAAAGCGATTCCGCAATATTACCTACATACAGTATATGGAATGGTATAAAAGGTCCCCATATGTCTCCCATAAGTCTCCACTACACAATTAGAGTGCATTTACTATCACGTATTGTGCAAGAGTCACAGGAGCGAGCCCTGTCAGGAACAGTTCATGTCTATGATAGTTTTATTTCTCAGACTCCCCATGTTTCTGAGCCAGAACATTTGACACAATGAGGTTTAACTCTCAGACACAGAATGTAATATCTCTATGGTCTCAGACCCCTTTTGGAGGGAGGAAGAGAAGAAAGGAAGTGGTACTGTGTCTCACCTGTTGTTGGTGAAGGAAGGCTGGATCTCTAGGGCTCAGTCCTACAAAACGATTGGCTGTGGGGGTGCTCGGGGCTGAGTAGCCTGGAAGAGCACACACACATTACATTTATTTATCTGTATAAAAAATATAAAGTGGTACAGCAGTAGTGGTGGACAGTAGTGGTGGACAGTAGTGATGGACAGTAGTGGTGGACAGTAGTGGTGGACAGTATTGGTACAGTAGTGGTGGACAGTAGTGATGGACAGTAGTGGTGGACAGTAGTGGTGGACAGTAGTGGTACAGTAGTGGTGGACAGTAGTGATGGACAGTAGTGGTGGACAGTAGTGGTACAGTAGTGGTGGACAGTAGTGATGGACAGTTGTGGTGGACAGTAGTGATGGACAGTAGTGGTACAGTAGTGGTGGACAGTAGTGGTGGACAGTAGTGATGGACAGTAGTGGTGGACAGTAGTGGTGGACAGCAGTGGTACAGTAGTGGTGGACAGTAGTGGTGGACAGTAGTGGTGGACAGTAGTGATGGACAGTAGGGGTACAGTAGTGGTGGACAGTAGTGGTGGACAGTAGTGGTGGATAGTAGTGGTGGACAGTAGGGGTGGACAGTAGTGGTACAGTAGTGGTGGACAGTAGTGGTGGGCAGTAGTGGTGGACAGTAGTGGTACAGTAGTGGTGGACAGTAGTGGTGGACAGTAGTGATGGACAGTAGTGGTGGACAGTAGGGGTGGACAGTAGTGGTACAGTAGTGGTGGACAGTAGTGATGGACAGTAGGGGTGGACAGTAGTGTTACAGTAGTGGTGGACAGTAGTGGTGGACAGTAGTGATGGACAGTAGTGGTGGACAGTAGTGGTGGACAGTAGGGGTGGACAGTAGTGGTACAGTAGTGGTGGACAGTAGTGATGGACAGTAGGGGTGGACAGTAGTGGTACAGTAGTGGTACAGTAGTGGTGGATAGTAGTGGTACAGTAGTGGTGGAAAGTAGTGGTGGACAGTAGTGGTACAGTAGTGGTGGACAGTAGTGGTACAGTAGTGGTACAGTAGTGGTACAGTAGTGGTGGACAGTAGTGGTGGACAGTAGTGTTGGACAGTAGTGGTACAGTAGTGGTACAGTAGTGGTGGACAGTAGTGGTGGACAGTAGTGGTGGACAGTAGTGGTAAAGTAGTGATGGACAGTAGTGGTGGACAGTAGTGGTGGACATTAGTGGTGGACAGTAGTGGTGGACAGTAGTGGTACAGTAGTGGTGGACAGTAGTGGTGGAAAGTAGTGGTGGACAGTAGTGGTACAGTAGTGGTGGACAGTAGTGGTAAAGTAGTGATGGACAGTAGTGGTGGACAGTAGTGGTGGACATTAGTGGTGGACAATAGTGGTGGACAGTAGTGGTACAGTAGTGGTGGACAGTAGTGGTGGAAAGTAGTGGTGGACAGTAGTGGTACAGTAGTGGTGGACAGTAGTGGTGGACAGTAGTGGTACAGTAGTTGTGGACAGTAGTGGTACCGTAGTGGTACAGTAGTGGTGGACAGTAGTGATGGACAGTAGTGGTGGACAGTAGTGGTGGACAGCAGTGGTACAGTAGTGGTGGACAGTAGTGGTGGACAGTAGTTGTACAGTAGTGGTGGACAGTAGTGGTGGACAGTAGTGATGGACAGTAGTGGTACAGTAGTGGTGGACAGTAGTGGTGGACAGTAGTGGTGGACAGTAGTGATGGACAGTAGGGGTACAGTAGTGGTGGACAGTAGTGGTGGATAGTAGTGGTGGACAGTAGTGGTGGACAGTAGTGGTACAGTAGTGGTGGACAGTAGTGGTGGACAGTAGTGGTGGACAGTAGTGGTACAGTAGTGGTGGACAGTAGTGATGGACAGTTGTGGTACAGTAGTGGTGGATAGTAGTGGTGGACAGTAGTGGTGGACAGTAGTGGTACAGTAGTGGTGGACAGTAGTGGTGGACAGTAGTGATGGACAGTAGTGGTGGACAGTAGTGGTGGACAGTAGTGGTGGACAGTAGTGGTACAGTAGTGGTGGACAGTAGTGGTGGACAGTAGTGGTACAGTAGTGGTGGACAGTAGTGGTGGACAGTAGTGGTGGACAGTAGTGTTGGACAGTAGTGGTACAGTAGTGGTACAGTAGTGGTGGACAGTAGTGGTGGACAGTAGTGATGGGACAGTAGTGGTGGACAGTAGTGGTAAAGTAGTGATGGACAGTAGTGGTACAGTAGTGGTGGACAGTAGTGGTGGACAGTAGTGGTACAGTAGTTGTGGACAGTAGTGGTGGACAGTAGTGTTACAGTAGTGGTGGACAGTAGTGGTAAAGTAGTGATGGACAGTAGTGATGGACAGTAAGTGGTGTACAGTAGTGGTGGACAGTAGTGGTACAGTAGTGGTGGACAGTAGTGGTGGACAGTAGTGGTGGACAGTAGTGGTACAGTAGTGGTGGACAGTAGTGGTGGACAGTAGTGGTACAGTAGTTGTGGACAGTAGTGGTGGACAGTAGTTGTACAGTAGTGGTGGACAGTAGTGATGGACAGTAGTGGTACAGTAGTGGTGGACAGTAGTGGTACAGTAGTGGTGGACAGTAGTGGTACAGTAGTGGTGGACAGTAGTGGTGGACAGTAGTGGTACAGTAGTGGTGGACGGTAGTGGTACAGTAGTGGTACAGTAGTGATGGACAGTAGTGATGGACAGTAGTGGTGGACAGTAGTAGTGGACAGTAGTGGTGGACAGTAGTGATGGACAGTAGTGATGGACAGAGGGGTTTTGCAGTGCCAGGGAGAGAGAAAGAAAGGGAGCTCACTGTTGTACTCACCTTCTGATGTGATGGGCTTGGTGTCGGGCATGGAGAGGGAGACGGGTCGCACTGTGCCGTGGTGCGGAGAGGGGGCCAAGACCGGGGTGAAGTGGCCTTGAACCTTCCCCACCTGGCTACTGCTGTTCGGCTGAGGGGTGGGGGGGGCAGTTAGTGACACAACTCCTGTACTACTTTTATTGTCACTTGACAAACGTTTTTCAACAGCACAATATCTAAGGTGAATTTTGAATACTACAAAACATTTTCACGCTGTTTACTTCGGTAAATAATTGCCTCCTCATTAAATAAAGTGTTTTATGGTATTGTTTGCATAGTTCTGTTTTGTATGAGGAAAATGTTGCCCTCACTTGAAAGAGATAGAGAGAGAGAGAGAGAGAGAGAGAGAGAGAGAGAGAGAGAGAGAGAGAGAGAGAGAGAGAGAGAGAGAGAGAGAGAGAGAGAGAGAAGATGCGCTCTCGCTCGCTCTCTCCTCTCTCTCCTCCCTCTCTCTCATTCGCTCCCTACTTCTCTCTCTCTCCCTCCCTCTCTCTCTCTCTAGCAGATATCGCGATATAGATAGAGAGAGCGATAGATAGTACGAGGTATCGATATAGATAGAGAGCGAGATAAACCGAGCTACTCTTTCAGACTGCGGGAGACGGTGAGTGGTGTATGGGGCTCTGTGGCGCCCCAAGTTCAAACCTCAAATAGGCCTTTATGAAAAAGACTTGTGTCCACAGGGTTCCTTAAAAACGTGAATAGAATGCTTAATTAGAGTGTAATATAATCTGCGTTAAAGCAAGCAAAAAAAAACATTCTGGCTGCCGTCCATGGGATTATAAGCGCTGTGTTATTTGCTGAGACCCCTCCTCGGCACACACACTCCCTCCAGCACCATGGTGGAGAGGGGCCAGTAATTCCGCCAAAAGAGAGCCGAGGCCCCAGCAACGGCAAATATTTACGACCTTTATCATTCCCTGTGGTTTTGTCTGGAGTAACTACAGTATCACATGGCTCTCTCACGGCGCTGTCATCTCTTTCTCTCTCGCTCACTCTCTCTCTCGGCACAGTGACACAACGGTTAAGTGTGTACACAATGTATAAAGTCTTCTGTCAGGTTTATCAGACGTTTCTGATACATACTGTGTCTCTGTAATCATATTTCTTTGAAGAAAAAGGCAGGGATTTTCTTTGGTATATTGAGTTAGTGGTTTTTACGGTGTATATTTTACATTTAGGTTGTAATCATTTATCAAGATGCTCTTATCCATAGATATTTATAAAATATACTTATTTCAGAGTTAGGTCTGGATTCAGTCATTGCAGAAAGGGATTTTTTTTCATTGCAGAAAGGTGCTTTAGATTTGAACAGCAGCATATTTTGAATGCAGGGAGTTGAACTTGACACTTGATTAAGCTGAGAATTCATCCAATCTTACATCCTGTGTCAACTCCTTCCATCCAATGCTGTGCAAATCGAATGCACCACAGGAAGAGTGGTGCAGTGAAGCCACCATGTGCAATGATTGTACTAGTCTGATTATGATTATAAAGAATAATAAAATTGAAGCCTAACTGACAAAAAATTTATTAAGGACTTTCAAGTTCATTCTGCACTTGCCACAAAATGAGTCACAACCATTCATTTCAACCTGCTTGAAACGCTTGGGGAAAATGAGGAGCTTTATTTGAACCCTTACAGATGGATGTTCATAACAGTTTGCAGTTCACTATCCATCAAGACCATAGACATTGTCCACACATTCTCAAGTGGCAAATGTTATAAAGCACCGAATCAATTCTTTATTTTCTCAAGGTGAAGGACAAATATTGCCACAAAAATTAGAAGGAGTGAAAATAATTTAAGGGAATCTGGCATAAGATCAACATTTGATTTTTGTAAAAATGTCAAGGGCACAAATTGTTGTGGGGCAGGTATTATTTTTGGCATACACAGGGACCTTTAGAAATAACTTTTTCAATTTGTCAATGGGTTTTTCAGAGGAAATTGAATACTAAATGGATTATGAAATAAAATAAAAATGTAATTCACATTGAAAAGTGTTCTACTGTATAGCCAAGGTTGTCCTGTGGCCTTTAACTACTTCCAGAAGTTAACAAATTCTTTACCAGAAAAACTAAACTCTAAACTCCCGAACTTCACATTCAATAATTTCACTGTTCACAAACACTGCCAGACAATTAGGCCTACTGGGGAGAGAGATTGTGTACAGTCAATTCCTCTGGTAAATAGAAGAAGTCAAATAGGAATTGAGCCCAACCCTACTCCTCTCCAGTGTGCTACACACTCACCTGGCTGGTCTGTGGGCTGGACGGGTCGTAGCTGGACACGTAGCTCTTCAGGGAGTCAGGGGGGTTGAGATGGGGCGGGTAGCGGATGGTGGGGTGAGAGAAGTAGGGTGACGGGGCGGGGGGGAGGATGGCCGAGGCAGAGAACTGCAGGGGGGAGTGGGGGGGGAGGGCTCCTCGTCGATATAACTAAGGAGATAGGGAGAGAAGGGGAGAGAAACACAGAGAGAAAGAAACAGGGGAGTAGACAGAGAGACACATTCAGAGAGGGAGAGAGAGAAACAAACTATTAAACAATACACTTGTGTAAAAGCAAAAACACATTACAATCCCAACTAATTCAAATGAGTTTTGGAGGCGGGGTGAGGGGGATGCATCACACAAACATATTCAGCTCAATCACTTTCTTGTAGAGGTCACTGTAGGTCACTGAGTGAGCATGTCTAGACTTAGTAGGGTACAGGTGCTTAGCCTACTCACCACTGTGTCCGACCCCTGTGAGTCCGGGGTGGTGGTGCTGGGGGAAAGTGCTCAGTCTGGGGGAGGAGTCCTGCGGGGAGGTGGAGCTGAAAAGAGGCTTCTCAGGCTTCTTCATGGTGGGAGACGACAGGTCTGGAGGGGAAGACACATGCACATCTGGTCAGGGTGTTACCTGCTGTGACGTCTTTCAAGCATACTCTGATTTTGTGCATGTGATGGCAGTGACTGTATATGCTTGCCATCGCTGTAATTCTACTCCTATGACATGTTTCCCAATGTCCTTATGCAAGGTATGACAACAGAACTGAACATGAAAAAGTGTGCTCCAAGAGCTAATGTTCTGTGACAGTAGCGGTTCTCCCAGGACCTATTGTCCCAGGACCTGTCACAAGACCTTTATATTCCCACGTCTCAGACCTCAGAACCATGTGTCATACTACTACCCTAATTACATGCATAGAGGACTCCTATCTATCGCATGCGATAGAATCTGATATCTAGTAGACGCAGCTACCGATATAAGGATCTCGCCCAGTAGATCTTAGACTATCTCTCTATCATCGCATGGTCTATCGCGAGCTACGTATCTCAGATAGATCGTAGTAGAGAGCGAGAGAGAGAGAAGGGAGAGAGAGAGAGAGAATAGAGAGAGAGGAGAGAGAGAGAGGGAGCGAGAGAGAGAGAGGAGAAAAGGAGAGCGAGGAAGGGTGAGACTATCAATCTCTCTCTCCTCTCTCCTCGCACTCTATCCCTATCTTCTCTCTCCTCTCTCTCTTATCTATCTCATCTCTCTCTCTCTATCTCTCTCTCGCCCTCCCCCTCTCTCTCTCTCCTCTCTCTCTCGCTCTATCTCTCTCTCCCTCCCTCACTACGCACCTCCCTCCCCTCCCTCCAGGCATTCCCACAAGATTAGCGCTCTAGTCCCTCTCTGTTCCAACAATAGAGAAGAATCCACCTGAAGAGGGAAAGGTGACTCATCCCAAACCAGGAGAAGGACAAAGGTTTCAGAAATCCAGGGGATTTGTAAAGGAAGCAGCTTAAGTCATTATAGCGTTTTTATCAACATGAGCAATTCCTCAGACAAAATGGATGGATTTGTATTTTTCTCTTTCCATTTTTTGACGGTACAAGTCCAAATAATTTTAGGCTATTGTACTATGGTTTTGACTTGTTCTTATGTGGTGTAACGTTCTCAAAAATATATTCTTGACCTTTCCTAAATTGACATAATTACACAATGGACATTTATGGAGAAATTCCTATGATTTAAAACAACATCAACAGAATTGTAAACAGTTATTGTGTTGCAACTGCTCAAAATGAGCAGGGATGGAATTGGAAAGAAAAGTCCCTCTGGTCTGGGAACTGACCAATATAAAATCCTACAATTCACCTAGAACAACTCATTTTGACATGTCAAAATGATTTCACTCTGTTAGCGTTATCTCGTGATCCACTCCTACAAATTAGAGAGTAAGCCAGGGCGTGCTCAGGCCAGGGTGTCCCAGACTGACGAAGGGGCCATGAATCTATGTGTATCTAGCAGTTAAATACACCACCGGGTTAGTGTGAGGAGCCAGAATTAAGTAAAGACTGCAGATTTCATCGGAGCATTAGATATGAAGAACTGATAACTACTTCAGTGCAAACAGCTGTTTGTCATCAAACCAGTCGCTGAGTGAGGATTTGAGTGCAGTGGCCAAAAATATGTAAGGGGAGCAGCTAGGCGTACATAACTCCACAACATGAGGACAACTGTACAGTAAAAGTGAAAGCCATTTCATAGAGTTTACTTTAGAGGACAAAAAATATGACAGAATTACACCTATTCCTTGCAGTGTAAAAGGGTTTCGCCGGACTAGCCATGTAAAAGAAATGACCATTTGGCACTTTGGATGGCCTCATATGGGTTTAATATCAATCCGCTTCTTTTTTTATTCCCTCTTTACAAAGTAATCGTTCTCTCGTGAATTTCCTGCCCTCTCCTCTTCTCCCTAGCCGTAACATATCAGCATGTGTTCACCCGATACTGTAAGGTATAAACACAAACCAGCTAGCACATTTGGTTCCTTGGAAGTTGTGGGAACGTACGTTTTTGGTTTCCCATTGGTTCTAGGAACGAAGCCATACGTTTTCTGACCGGTAAAACTGAAATGTAGCCTGTTCTGGTAACGTACATTTTTAGGTTGCAAGGAGGTTCTGAAAACGTTTTACTATGGTTCCCTGAAGTTTTCTTAGGAGATTTTATTAATGTTCTGAGAAGGTTATTAATTAATAATAATAATAATAATAATAATAATAATAATAATAATAATAATAAACCAATAATTATTAATTTATTGGCCGCGGCCAACACACCTGAACACACTTAACAAGATAGAGGATAGAGCAAGTTTTGTTTACGCTAAAACAGTATGTAGATGTTTTTAAATAACATTCTAAGAACGTTCTTAGAACATTAGTAATGTTTTCTTGTGTTTTTGATGGAACGTTTTCTTAATGTTCTGAGAATAGAACCATAAGGAAACCTGCAGAAAACGTTATGTTGAGGTACTGAAATTCCCACAGAAGAACGTTGTTTCTTAATGTTCTCTGAACATTCTGAGAACATGACTTTAAATAGAACCATGAGGAAACCTGTAGGAAACATTATGCTGAAGTACTGAAATTCCCACCAAAGATACATACACTGTGTGTACATGACATAGACTGATCAGGTGAATCCAGGTGAAAGCTATTATTCCTTATTGATGTCACTTGTTAAATCCACCTCAATCAGTGTAGATGAAGGGGAGGAGACCGGTTAAAGAAGGATTTTTAAGCCTTGAGACAATTGAGACATGGATTGCGTGTGTGCCATTCAGAGGGTGAATGGGCAAGACAAAAGATTTAAGTGCCTTTGAACGGGGTATGGTAGTAGGTGCCAGGCGCAACGGTTTGAGTGTGTCAAGAACTGCAACGCTGCTGGGGTTTTCCACGCTCAACAGTTTCTCGTGTGTATCAAGAATGGTCCACCACCCAAAGGTGGCCAACTTGACACAACTGTGGGAAGCATTGGCGTCAACATTGGCCAGCATCCCTGTGGAACGTATGGTTCTTAGAACGTTATGTGCTAGCTGGGTATCCTGCACCATTCCCAGAAAGTTGTGGGAAGGTTGTATGCAAAATCACCATAGGACAACCACAATCTCACCAAGCTCTAAGAAACAAATGGTTCTCATAACGTTATGTGTTAGCTGGGAAAACAGCATAAGAAGGAAGGGAAAAAACAAGCTAAAATCCCAAAGAAGGCTCGTTTAAAGAAGCGAGGGGAAAAAACATAACGCCGTTGGATGTTGGAACCTTCTGTACCCTAAGCGTTTATCTGTCATAGTGTAGTGAGACGAGAGGCGTCCCTCTCCCTTCAACTTAGGGCTTAAGGGGAGTGTGTGTGTGTGTGTGTGTGTTTGTTAGGGGTGAACAATTCAGGAAACACGGGACCGTGAGGGCTTAATTAAAAATGTTACGGGCTCTGCCCTGCACCACGAGACCAGGTAATGAGACATACACCCTTCCCTGGAGGATCACACACACACACACACCACACACCTTTTCTCTCTCTCTCTCTCTCGCCCTCCCTCTCCCTCTCTCTCTCTCTCCTGCTTGCTGCCTGTCACTATAGTGGCGTTATCAGGGCTAGGCGTGGGATGGCCTGCCAACTGGGCCTGCCACCTGTTGAGTCAGACAGCTCCTCTGAGACCTAGCTTCTCATCTGAGTCAGGTTCAAACGGGAGCCACCGCACCTGCCCGCCAATCTCTCTCTCTCTCTCCCCCCCCCCCTCTCTCTCTCTCTTGCCCCCCCCCCCTCTCTCTCTCTCTCTCTATCTCTCGCCCCCCTCTCACTCTCTCTCTCTCGCTCTCTGACACACAAACACGTTCCTGGATACGCACATACACACCTGTTCACCCTAGCGTCCCCCCTTCACTCTCGCAGCATAACAACACAACAGGTTTATTAATAAAGTTCTCTGCCAAGTCTGCTCACAGCCACAATTGCTACAACTCCCACTAGCATTTCCTCATTCTCGCTTTGTATTATTTATTTAGCTTACGGCACCTGGTATTCCCAGGCTGTCTCCCGTCCCAACCCTGTTCAAGGTGGTATGGCCACAAGCATATTTTCTTTACCCCGTTTTCTCCCCGAATTAGGTCCCTTGGCTCATCTCTGCAACTCCTCAATAGGCTCGGGAGAGGCGAAGGTCGTGTCATGCGTCCTCCGAAACATGACCCGCCTGGACGCCTACTTCTTATCACAATATTTGCTTAACCCGGATGTCAGCCGCACCAATGTGTCGGAGGAAACACCATTCGACTGACGAACGGAATCAGCTTGCAGGCGCCCGGCCATGTCACAAGGAGTCGCTAGAACACGATGAACCAAGGAAAGCCCCACCGGCCAAACGCTCCCCTACCCTGGACGGTGCTGGGCCAATTGTGAAACATCCTATGGGCTCCCGGGATCGAACCCCAGGCTGTAGTACCGCCTCAGCACTGCAGTGCTTTTGACCACTGCGCCACCCAGGACTGTCATGCTCACTTTCATTGGTGCAACACTGCATTCCACAATAGAATCGCTACCACACTGAAAATCCCACTCACATCGCTTCAACACTGCAACTCTCACTCAGATTGGTGAGAAAACAGGAAGCAATGAGGAAGCCCCCAAACTATCAGAGAACTCAACAACCCTCCAAACCAGTTTACTGTATCAACAGGGGGATGTTCTTACGAGTTCATTATATAAAGGATTCCGTTACTCACCCAGCCTGTTTTTTGAAAACATTCGGAAAAAACTACACTGACAAGAATATAAACGCCACATGTAAAGTGTTGGTCCCATGTTTCATGAGCTGAAATAAAACATTGCTGACATTTTCACAAAAAGCTTATTTCTCTCAGATGTTGTGCACAAATTTGTGTACATCGCTGTTAGTGAGCATTTCTCCTTTGCCAAGATAACCCATCCACCTGACAGGTTTGGCATATCAAGAAGCTGATGAAACAGCATGATCATTGCAGAGGTGCACCTTGTGCTGGGGACAATAAAAGGCCACTCTAAAATGTGCAGTTACAAAGTAGTAAAACAAATTTATATTTTGGATTCTGATGGGGTACGACAGTTGAACTAAGCTAAGGAGACATCTACTGTACAAGTTATATTCTTCAAGAATCAATGGGTATATATCATGAATTTAAAAGTAAAAAAATTGATGTAGTGACTGCTGATTGCGCCTTTAAGCTTGGCTCATTGAATGTTTTACTGTAAATCACAGCAGGAAAAAAACTATCCAACTCTATTTAGCTTGGTTTATGACAGAGTATTTGCATATATTTAGCATGTAACCTTTTGGGACAATGTAATAATAAGGTTTTGCATAATACGGTGGTGGTGTTTATGGTCTGACCTGAGGCTATCAGGTTATCATGTGTCATTACTCAGCCAAGTTGATTGGGCTCACATCGAGGGAACAAGGTGCCATATCATTTTATCAACATACAGTAACTGCTCGCTGTGGAGTCAAGAGGCAACGATAACATTGGGAACATCTTGACAGTTGAAGAGTGACACTCTTGTCCCCTGAGACTGTATAGTGTGTAGCCTACATGACACATCACAGATTATGGTGGGGGCTCTTCTGCGCTACAACGAGTCTGGACAGATATGGAATAATGTGGCATCTGTATTGAATTGAATCGTATTGTATTGTATTTAATTTTATTGTATTCTATTGTATTTCTGAGGGAATGATTTTGCTTAGCTGCAGTAATAATCTCTGATTATTAATTCCTAGAATGCTGAATAATTCCTAGAATGTTTTTGGTGGATTAGGGATTATGTTCCCCCAACCTAGCCTTGCCAATTATCTTAAAGTGTTCTGTTCTGAGAACATTCCGTTTGCGATTTAGGAATCTAGAACCTTGCTATTAAAAACATTCCCGGTACAGCTTCTGTAAACCTCCTGCAGTGTCACGCACACACCTCCCCTCTCACCTTCTCTCTCGTGCCAGGTCCTGCTGCCGCTAGCTGGGGAGCTAGGGGAAGAATAGAAGTCAGGGCCAGTGGGACTGGTCTCCATACTCTCCTCTATGTTGAGGGTCTTGGGCCGTTTACTGAAGAAGGAGGAGAAATGATGAGTCTTTCATCCCTGTGTCTCTAATGCTTTATCACAGCCCTTGATGTTGTAAGTACCTGTATCATATGTTTACTGATGATGTATTGTCCAGATGTGTGAGTGTAAACAGAGTTGAATTAGAACAAACAGCCAAATATGGAAGCAATGCTATAATATAAATGACAGATTATAAATGTACCCCCCTGAGACACTAAACTGAAATCAGTTTTATATTCCCCCCTCCTGCATCTCATTCAAAGTTCAGAGGTCAATGTGTGACGAGAGGTTCTCATGTGACGCGGGACAAAGACAGAGGGGGCAGGGTAGAGTCCTGCAGTACACTGACCTGCCAGGTGGGGAGGAGAGGGAGCGATGGAGGCCCACGCTGGAGTTCAGGTCATGGTAGTACGGCTGACTAGGCATGTCGGCCATGGAGAAGTTCACCCCTGCCCCCTGGGTGATGGGCGCTGGAGAAGAAGGAGAGGAAAAGAGAGGTACAGGTTGGTTACTTCCTGGTCACTAGCATGCTGATTGGTTGGCTGCTGAAGCTTTGATAGGCTTCTGATGTGAAGTGACCTTGAACTTGGCCCACAACTTCATTAAAATGATCTCAGTGTACATGATCCCCTCTCACATGATTGAACATCATTTAACGTTTGCATTCCACCAGCACACTGCAAACTCATGAGCTAAGCCACACTCACCAGGCCTCTGATTGGTCCTACCTATTGTAATTGGTCAAGCACATATCAATAAGTGCACTGAAGGTCACTTTCATTGTGGTTTTATGTGTGATATGCTTCGAGTACCACAGCCCACCATCACATCTCACTGTGTGAAATGTTACTTTTTTTTCTCCCTGTGGTTGATGGCCGTGAGGAGGATATTGTTTCAGGGAGGACAGCTGATTGTTTACCAGGACACTCTGTAAACACTCCTTCCTCTCTTGAAACTGCCGCTTGCGGAGGAAGGGAGGGGGGGGAGGGGGTGGTTAGGGTGGGCGGATGGGGGGCGTTGGGGTTGAGGTTAATTTTGGCTGAGGCCCATGGAAAGCGCACCCGAACTGGAACCCAGCCCTGCATTTTTAAAAAAAACCGGCGTTGGGCGCTAATCCAAGCACCGTTTTGCGGCAATACTTTTTTTTCCCCCCCCCCGTTTTCGACCGAACTTTTTCCCATCAAGGAAAACCCAAGGAGACCCCAAACCAACGGTTTTTGTTTAAAAAGAGTGGGCGAATGAGGTAGACTGAAAAGGCTTCTCTCTCTCTAAACCAGCTGAATCGCAGGGAATTGTATCTTACTCTTCCCTTTTATTCCCTCTCTTCTAACCTCCCCTCTATCAGCAAGGTGTAAACACACTTCACTCTGCTCAGTTTTCTGTTTTGAGAAATTGCCCCGACTGGGAATAACAATGCAGCCAAAATACGAAAAGACTTACCAAACAAGAACCAAACCCCTGTTTTCTGTTTTTTCCGTGCCCTTTTAAATTTCCCCCAACCTACCCCCAAAAAGTTCCCCGGAGGTTATTTTAATTTGTTTTTATACCGGGTGCTTATTCAAAACCCCACCCTAACTCATGTTGGAAAATTCTTTTTTTTCTCCCTGTTTTATGGGCCCCGGAGGGAAATTTTTAAGGGGTAGGGAGAACAATATTGTTTAAAGGACCCCCTGTTAAACCTCCCCCCTTTAAAAGGGAAAAAGGGGGCCCAAAGGAAACAAACCCCCAAAGGGGGGTTTTAAGGGTGGTCCCCTAAAGGGGGGAAATTGGAAAGGGTTTGAAAGGTTGGAATAATGGTGTGGTTTGGGGAAACCTTTAAATCCAAAGACCCCGCCAGCACCCCCGGGCCTGGAAACCCCACTTTCAGTTCCTTTGGAACGGGAAAACGGGGGCCCCTTTTGGGCCCCCCGGTTTTAAAACCCCCCCTTTTCCCCGGGCCGTGCGGGGGGAGCAATTTAAAGGATAGAAAAAAGGGGGAGGGGGGGCCCCCCGGGTTGTGGAAAGGGCGTAATTTAAAAAATTATCCCAATATTCAAAGTGGGGGGAAAGGGGGAGGCCCCCCCGTAACCCGGGGCGGGGTGGGTTTGGGGGGGTTGAGGGGCCCGGGCTTTTTTTTTTGGGGGTTTTGTTTGGCTGAAAAAGGGGCCTAAAAATTTCTTATTTTTCCCCTATGGGCTTTTTCTAGTTTGACTTCCCTTAATTCTTCTCCCTTATGGGTTCCATCTTCTCCCCTTCTCTCCTATTTGGGGCCTTCTCTCTCTTCTCTCTCTCTCTTTTTTCTCTTCTCCCCTTCTCTCCCCGGCGTAATGTGGGGTCAGCCCTCCCCTTCTGCGATCAAGTCATTTAAAACTGTTTTAAAGGGCAAATATGACCCCTGAAAATTAAAACTAAAACAATCCCCCTAAAAAATTCAAAATAAAAAATGACACAAAACCCACCTTTTACTTTTTTTTTTTTTTCCTTTCCATTTTGAATTTGCATTTAAAAAACCTGCAGAATCCAGCAAGACTGAGTTTTAAATTTTGGTTTTTTAAAAAGGGCCCCTAAACACCGAAAATCGAAAAACAACTTTAAAAAAAATTTGGGGTACAAACAAAAAAAGGGGGCCCTTTAAAAAAACTGAAGTAAAAACCCCAAAATTTGTATGTCAGGGGTCAGTAATTTTTTGGTGAAACCCCAGGCATGTTAGAATACAGGATATTCCTTTGTCACGGCCCCCAACCCCCCGTTTCCCCCCATTTTGGGAATTCGGGCCCCCGGGACCCCTAAATCATTACGCCCACTTTCCACCTTTTTGGTTACTGCACCTGCGTTTAAAATTATGGGATTAAACCGGGATCCATCACGAAATTGATTACCCCCCCCTATATCTGTCACCCCTTCAGGTTCATTCCTTTCACATTGATACGGCCCAGTTTTCATGCCCGGGGAGCGGGTTTGGGTTTTGTTTTTATTTTTTTTTATTTTAAAAACCCTGTACTTCCCCGGTCTGTTCTAAAAAGTCGCCTTACAATTTATGTTGTAGGACCAGGGGGGTGTAAAGATTTGAAAAAATACATAAAATTTACTACAAATTATTTTTTTGGGGGGTTTCTGTACAATTTTACTTAAACTATTTATTTTTAAATCTTTTGGGTATTTTTTTAACCCACACATTTTCCCTGACACCGAAAAGCACTCGTTACACTTTGAATGCTTAGCAGGACAGAAAAAAAATCAAATTCACACACTTATCATGAGAACATCCCTGGTCATCCCTACTACCTGATATGGCGGACTCACTAAACACAAATGCTTCATTTGTAAATTATGTCTGAATGTTGGAGTGTGCCTCTGGCTATCTGTAAATTTAAAAAACAAGACAATTGTGCCGTCTGGCTTGCTTAATATAAGGAATTTGAAATGATTTATACTTTTACTTTTACTTTTGATACTTAAGTATATTTTAGTAATTACATTTACTTTTGATACTTAAGTATATTTTAAACCAAATACTTTTAGACTTTTACTCAAGTAGAATTTTACTAGGTGACTTTTACTTTTACTTTTCTTTTTACAAATCAATTTCTATTAAGGTATTTTTACTTTTACTCAAGTATGATAATTGGTTGCTTTTTCCACCACTGTGTAGGACACAGCAGCACTTGAGCAGTAGAGGTAAATCCTGCCTGAGGGAACCATTGTCCTCAGCTAACTGTGGAGAGAGATTCCTGAAAGAACATCTGTCATTGTCTTTGAGAAGGGCAGTCTATACACACCACACACACACACACACACACACCACACACACACACACACACCGGTGTACTGTAGCCACACACACACTGTGTTCTAATGCTGGGGACTTGCTCGACTGGATATTCCGCTTGTGTCCCGTAAAGCTCACTCTTTTTGAATCGACAATGAGTAAAATGATGATATAATGAATGTACTGAACTTACTTCTGGACACGCGCACCAGCTCCGAAACACTGAAGACTCCTGATTTGATGAAGCTGTCTTCCAAGTAAACTGCAGAAACAAAAACACAGATAGACAATATATCAATACAATATATAAATATATCAATGAAAACATTAAACCATATGCTTTGTGTTCTCGTAACTTACAGTAAGTTACATTCATAGTGATTTAAGCTGTTGATAAAGTAATAAATCATTATTTGATTCCCTGCTTACTATTCTCTACCAAATATTTTTGTAATAAAACAGAGCATCCTTCATCGACCCACCATCTATAGCCCACCACCTGGTGGTTCTCTGTAGCTCAGTTGGTAGAGCATGGCGTTTGCAACACCAGGATTGTGGGTTTGAGTTCCAGGGGCCACCCATACGTCAAATGTATGCACGGATAAAAGCTAAATGGCTTATATTATATTTATTATATCAACACACCACCAATACTGAAAATACTGAAACATGGAGGCTTTGAAGTACAATATGTATGGGGGCCAGAATGTAAGAAAATAATCTCATAACCAATCAGTCTAGCCTGGTCCCAGATCAGTTTGTGCTGTTTATCTAATTGTCATGCCAATGACCATGGTGAGCCGGCACTACAAACTAGATCTGGGACCAGGCTACTGTCAGTCTGTCAGCCATCCAGACAGACAGACATGTCACTGACTCCCAAAATGACTTTGACATTTCATCCTTTGATGTTCTGAGGAGGACCATTGGGTGTGCCAACTACATAGGGGGAAGGCGTTAGTCTAGATTCCGATTGGCAGCTAAATGCACTTTCTTCCTCCTAATGCCCTCAACACAACCCAGTGGGCGTCCCAGAGAAGGGAAGGGAACTTTGCCACTGTAGAGAGAGCAGCTAGAGAGGCCCTCCCAGGGTCTGAATCATTGGCTCAACGTTGGCTCAATGTCGTGTTTGACTTGGCAGCGAGACGCACACCCAGGGCGGGAAAAAACCTGCTTTGGGGTAGGGCCCAAAATTACGTTCTCTCTCTATTTTTCCTGGCCCCTGATGAAAATCAAGGGCATCCATAAGAACGAACAGGCTCCGGAGAATATTTGGAACAGAAACCTTTTGTTTGGGTGCTAGCAGATGGCTAGCCCAATTTTGCAAGTTCCAACCCTTAGGCAAGGAAGATAACTATAGCCTCAAATCCCAAAAGGTATACGAGGAGCAATAAAGTGGTTAGCTCCATGTTTTCCCCAAAGCAGTTTCTATTGAGGTAGTGACAGCAATCATAATGAGATAACCTACATACATTCAGTGGGTGTAGTTTCATATCGCGGAATTTAACACCAGGTTTAAAAAATAAAAAGGCCGGGGGAGAGCATAGGTAATACAAAGAACAATTTTTTGCTAGACCTTATCCCCAAAGAGCACGCTATAAAAAAGATACCACGTAATCATTTACCCGGGAGGGGAATACTATATCGACAGAGGGGGAGGGAAATATGAGCTATGCTGACAGCACGAGGGGTTGGGGACGTGACAGTAAAAATTTAGGTACATACCCGGGGGGTTTTTACGGGGGTTCCCTGCTGGGCGTCTGAACAAGAATAGAAACCATTTTTTCAATTGGAACCTGAAAAAGTCATTAAAGTTCAGCATTTCTACAATTTAAATAATTTAAATTTGCTTTAATTGCATGAATGTAAAAAAACCCAGTGTTGCCAAAGCAATACAAATTTCCCCACAACAAGGACATGCCAAAAAACCCCCGAATGTCCAAAAGGTGCCCAAAAAAAAAAAACAAGCAAGGGGTGTTAGAGACAGATTTAAATTTAAAACCCAGACAAATACAATGGGTCTAACAGAGATGGTGATTTTATAATGAATCTCCCCGTTTCCCCTAGTTTTTTGTCTGGGTTCATTGTCTATTTCGCGGGTGCGTCCTACAGCCAAGCCCGAGGGGCGTGATGAGTAAAAAAAGTCTTCAAAAAAGAGAGGTGTCAGCTGGGGTGAAAAAGGGGGAAAAGAGAAAAGGGGTTTAAAAAATACGAGGGGGGGTTTTTGGAAAAAAATTTTTTATTTGGGGGGGCCTGTTTTCAAAAACTGTGGTTCTGCCCCCCCTTTTTTTCAGGGGGC